AGGGAGAGACCTTATTCCAAAGCACCACCATCGCATCCGCCTCATCGACGACACCAGAAACCAAACACTAGAACTACAAAGGGGAAGGGGTTGGGTCCCCGCTCCTCTGACCACCGGCGAGGTCATCGGTTAGGAGAGAGGAGGGGGACCAAGGCGGTGTCGTGAGGGAGGGCGGCGGCAATGGTGGCAGTGGCGATTGGGTGAGAATTTGCATGCGTATGGAATTTCTACTCTTGGTTGGTTGGATGGATAAGCAGAGTCTGGTATTTTTGGTAACATGATATTAGGGCTGTTTGATAAACCATTCCTTTGCGAGTAGCAGGGATCGAGACTATAACCAATTTCCTTACCCGGGAAAACTAGAGTCTGATTGGTTTTATAACGCTAGGGAGTCAAACAAAATTTTAGCCTCGCCAAATCCTAGGCACGACCAAGCCAATTTATGACTATTGCTAAAGCCTAAGGGACTGTTTGATACAACTTCATCCAATTTTAGCTCCATGCTATAGTGTGCCGAGAAACGAAAGTTGGCAAAGACAAAAAAAATGGCTTTACCATCTCTTAATTCATTTTGAAAAAATGAAATTTAAAAGAAGATATCATATCAAACTATAACTTGGAAAATAGATTGAAGGGGGCACAAATCAATAAACATAGGAGCTTGTGCCTTGTTAGTGCCACCTAGCACGGTAGCACCAGTACCTATTCTCTCCCCAAGCAAAATACTACATCCAATGATTTTGCAAATTTTGTTGCTTACGCTAACGTCGTACTCCCTCCATCCCTAAAAAATATCGCTACGAGCTTAAGTTTAACTAGGGTTGTAAAAAATATTAGCAACATCCGTATGACTATATCTCCGAATAAATTTTATTATAAAAATATATTCAGTGATTCATCTAATCTAATAATACTAATTATACACCATAACTATTAATATTTTCTTATATACATTTGGTCAAAATTAAAAATGTTTGACATTCTGAAGTGAGAATGATACTCTCTGTGTGTGACAGGAGTACAATGCATGTAACTGGGCTGGCCACGACTTCGTTTTAAACCAAATGGCAACTATTTTTTCCAAGGCGTACCAAATTTTAACTTGGCCATTTAGTCACCAAAATGAGATTTTCCCCAAATTTACCTTCCAATGATACTTATTTTAACTTGGCTGTTTAGGCACCAAACTTGGACAGGGATACTTAGGGCACTCCCAACTCATAAACCATGGTCTTTGTATTCATTAATTAAGAAGCCAACTAAGCAAAAAGATGATGTGACAGAGAGAGGAGGAAATTGTTTAATAGGAAATCATGTCTACACAGAAATCAAGATATGAAGAGATATGATAGATGATGAGGAAGAAGAAGACATATGACTGAATAAAAGATTATTCCGTAGAAACTATCAATTGGGAACATATTTTCTGTATAGTGTCTATATAAATTAATAAATATAGAAACCATGTGATTTCTAACATTGTGAATGCCTTTTAATTATTGTGATCCACAGATCTCGGTAACTCCATTCCAATGACATCAAAGCACGTCGGTATGTTATCCAATTGAGCACCCAAATAAACTAGCCAGAGAAGGGAACACAGGACCTGCGACCTTTCCAAAAAGAAGATGGGTCCTTCCCCATCCTCCCACAGATCTTGATAAGCTGGCCCAAGAATAGAAAGATTATCTATTGCTTTGTCCAGATAGAAATGAACCGCTTTTATCTAAAATGTATGGCTCGAGGGGAATTATCCCCGAGCTTATACATGTCATGTTCGTTTCTCTTATAATCCGTACTTTTCGACTTGTCTTTTCAGCCGGAACAGTATTTTGCTTTCACAACAAATCAGCCGGAACAATATTTCAGCTTGTTTTTTCAGCGAAGCAAACGGAGCCATAGCTATAAATCGAGGAAAAGATCTTTTCCTTCATTAAAAATAAGTGAAGGCGGGCATTACTATTTTGTGATTCAGCTCCTGCTGAATGAACACAACCCGCTCCAAATCCTGGTCATAAAAGCTTAGATAGATGTTTAGCCCTTCTAAATGAGTGAGCTGCCCAAGCTCCTTTGGGGGTGTTTGGAACTGCTCCGCTCCTGTTTTTCCAGCTCCACGTTGCAAAACACCCTCCAACTCCAGGAACTGCGCTCCACAAAAAAGTGGAGCTGGAGGCTAACTCCATGTTTTTTCTGGAGCATCTCAAGGAGTACTCCAGTTTTTAGAGTTTTGTACTCCCACATAAAGTTGTGGGATAATTACCCGTCTTGCCACTCATTAATCACGGATTACTTCCCCTAACCTATACGGCAGCACTCCACGCTGGGCCAAACTCGGTTAAACGTCCCCGACATGTCTTGACCAGCCAGCCAACTGGACCCGGTAGAGTACTCGGCAATCGGCGCAGGCCGCATCTGTACTGAGCCTCAACAAGAACAGGCCAACATGTATCTACCCAAAAACGAATGAAAAAGGAATGAGAAAAGAGGGGAAAATCTAGTAAATGGATCTCAAACCAGATCATCCTCTGGGGTACCGTGAGGACTCCTCACCATCTCAAGCATACTGACCACCTCAGCCATATCCGGTCGATGAGAAGGCACCTGAGATGCACAAACCAGCCCCAGCTTGATGATCAGTGTGGCCTCCTCCATCGAGAATTCACCGGACAATTATTATTATTTGAATTATGGCCTATGCTAATATTCTATCATTTGTTTTCTATTTTTCTCGGAAAATATCAAGTGCAATTCCAATCAATAGCATAATGGACCATTTGTATGAAAACAACCTATTCTTGGAGCTGGAGCAGAGCTGTGTGCCAAACAGTACCACCTGCTTCACAAACTCCACGATGGAGCTGCTCCATGGTGGAGTTCGTGGAGCAGAGCTAGAAAAACAGGAGCGGAGCAATCCCAAACACCCCTTTTGTGAACGGCAGAGCATGGTTAGCTATAGGTGTAGGAAAATCGTCCAACCAGGTAATTGAAGTTGGACAACTGATCTTTGCTCTTGATTTTTAGTCAGTAGCTACTCCCCTATTCCAAATTATAATACATTTTGGCTTTACTAAGGCCTCGTTCGGCTTACCCAGAAATCGGCTTGTTCAAATTTTCTTTTTTCAAATTGAACGATTTTTCTCTCACAACAAATCAGCTAAAACGAAGCTTTTTTTTCAGTCCCAAATTACCGCCTCCTTTGTTACATTCATCGACTTGTAGGGATGAAAGCGGGAGGAAAATTCCCATACATACAAATTTGACCGGATATCATTTCTCGAAAAACGGATTCGGGAAGAAATCCGGGAAAATTCGGCGAATCCGATCGAAATCGGTTAGAGTGATTTCCGACCCAATTAGCGGATCCGTTTGTCTGAAAAACTCCCGAAAATTCCCGTTTTCCCATGGAGCGCAGCAATTTTGGCCAGGAAGCAAAGTTTGGCCAAGGAAGCAAGGTTTGGCCAGGAAGAGAGGAGGCAAAGAGCTGAGTCATGCATGCGCCCATCATTCCATGCTTGGCCAGTTGGCCCAGGAATTCACGCATGGAGGCATGGAGCACAGGAGCAGCAAGCCTTTTGTTCATTTTTTTTTTCCATTTTCTTTTTTGGTAGTTCTTTAGTTTTTTTTGCATAAATATTTTAGCTTACTATTTGCTATTGTATGCATATGGATTATGCATGGTTGCTATTGTTGCATCGAGCTCACCCAGTGGTTACATATGTCGATGTTTTCGCTTTGTATTACCGCCTCGTGTTACATTCATCGACTCCCGATATCCCGTAATACGGATTTTTTCCCGTCCGCCGTCTTCCGGCCTCTGCGTGCGTTCGACTTCCCAACCATTCGGTCGTTTTCATCCCTATCGACTTGGGTATTTTGCCGTCTTGGCCTCTGCGTGCGATCGACTCATTCGGTCATTCCTGTACCAAACTGTCTTTATGTGTGAACAACAAATTGCTACACACTTCACACCATGTCAGCGACTCATTCCTCTACCAAACTGTGTTGGGTGTGAAACACACCTTGCTCAAGTTTTGGCAGCAGGTGTAAGCAACCTATGGAAACCATCCGAATATAGTCCCCGTTCCAAAAAAACAATGACGAAATCAAGTTTGATTTTGCATCGTAACCTTGGCTGCTAGGCTTTGACCTCGTTGCCCTTTCTGAAGAGACTGAGAATGTTAAGCTTTGGCATTGCTGCTCTTGTTAATTGTTATTAACACTACTACACTAGTTAATCTAGATCCTATGAGAATATCCAATCATGCAATTGAATATTTCGAGACATTACTGCCATTGATCAATTCTGTTGGTACGCTGACCCGACCAATACGACAACGAGATGAGATGGCGACCTGGCAAAGAATATAGCAAACTAATACTACTAACGGTTTTAATTCCACAAAGGGAAACTCACGATCAACTATCGCCTTCTTTATTAATATACAGTATGCAAAACCTCAACAAACTTCTTCCGTCCAAAAATAATCCCCAAAGAATTTTAATTTAGGTTAACAGATTCAGAACAATCGCCAGCAAAAAAAAAAAAAAAAGACTTTCATGCAGATAAACCTTTTATGATCCGATACTCAAGTCTGGCAACATTGAAACCAAATTTTCATCCATAACCATCACCAGCTGAAGTGGGCATAGAAACCTCCGACAGTTGTACAGCCACACATAATAACTAAGGTAAAAGGAGTCTCAGAATACATATTGATGGGCAGGTTCTGTCCAGACCAAGCCGGTAGATACCGAATAGGGTCCAAGAGTAACCACACAAACACATATCATCAGTCCAAACATACACGCCAGCAATAAAAAAACAGCAAAGTACTAATCAATAGCAAGGAAATAGCAATTCAAAGAGTCAAAACAACAGGCAAAAAGATATAACTTGTAGATGTGGACCCTAAACCAGATGCGTAATATTAAGCAACAGTGTGGAGGAAACCACATAGCAGAGGCTTGAAAAATGTTTGCTCCAAATTAACTGATGAACCTTAAGTTTCCGCAGATGTTTGGGCACCTCCACTGTTGTCAGGAGCTGGCGCAGCTGTTGTTCCAGGGGCCGCAGCAGGGGCAGCAGAGTGATCCTGGGATGCAGCAGGAGCTGTTGCTTCAGTAGAGTAGGCTGGAGGCTGCCCATAGCTTCCACTACCATAAGCATCGCCATAAGATTGCTGCTGGCCATAGCCCGGGTGGCTTGCAGGGGGTGCACCAGGGTAAGCTGGTGGTGCACCGTAAGCAGGTTGGCTGTATCCATACTGCCCGTAACCACCCTGAGCAGATCCAGGAGGCAGAGCCTGTCCATAAGGTGAAGATGCAGGAGGTTTCTGGCCCTGTGGAGAAGGCTGCCCATAAGTGCCCTGACCATATCCACCTTGCTGTGGGGGTTGGGTGCCATAGCCAGACTGGGGTGGTGGAGCACCATATCCAGATGGAGCTGAACCTTGAGTTGGGTAGCTTGCTGCAGCACTAGTAGGCGGTTGGCTGGCATAGCCAGGGTGGCTTCCAGCAGCTGGGGTTGAAGTTTGCTGCCCTGGAGATGCCTGACTGGTACCACCAGGACCACCATAGCTGGGTGCAGACCCATCCTGGGTCGAGTTTGCAGCTGATCCATAAGCAGATGCACCATAGCCCTGTTGGTCATAACCAGTCTGCTGAGAGTAGCCCTGCTGCTGCCCTTGGGTCTGGTAACCAGAGTAGCCATCATGTCCATATGCTTGCTGCCCACCACTCTGCTGAGTGTAGGTAGAATCATATCCTTGTGAAGCATACGTTGAAGGCTGGCCATAATTGTAGCTAGTGGCATCAGTAGAAGCAGCAGTTCCAGGGGCAGATTGTTGTTGTTGAGGTTGCTGCTGCTGGCTATAATAATCATACCCAGTACCAGGGGGGGTTGTATGAGATTGCTGGTTTTGAGACTGATCCCACCCAGTCTGATAGCCACCAGATGTTGGGGGATAACTACCATAAGGTTGCTGAGGTGCACCATACTGTGGCGGTGCCCCAGGATAAGCCCCAGGCTGCATATAACCATAGCCTGGCTGCTGGGGTGGCGCAGAAGGTGGGCCCCAGTTTGACTGAGGACGAGGAGGACGATAGCCCTGCTGAGAATAGCCACCAGACATTGGATTCCTGGCACGATTCTGCAAAAATATAGTTTGCACATCTGTATATGTATACGACAAAAGGGCATAGAGCACAGAATAGGAAAAAAAAATAGCAGTGCAATAGCAGGCATACAAAAGCACAAGACATATTGCAGATAAATTCCATAACAACCAAGAAAAATGGAAGGAGCAACTCACCGATCAAGTTCGTCAAGCTAGCGATGCCCATCTACCGTTGCCCATGTGCAAAACTATGGGGGCTAATGAAGATTGGACAGCTAGACGAATATATACATATATATATATATATGTTGAATAGCAATACCATGGAATAGAGTTTCAATAGATGTCCAAAGATATATATGATAATAGAAAGGTGCTTCCACTACCATCTAAAAGATTCAATTCATTGCTAAATGGCAGATATATAAAAAACAGATAGGCTACTTTACTTTCAATATTATCCTCCAAAAAGTTGAAAAATATTAAACAAAATGAAGCATCAAAGGCAGCATTCAAATGATACTATTTAAGCACAAAAACAAGATTGGACAGCAACCTGCAGAGCCACAAGGTACATAATAAAGAGAGATAACAACACATAAAATAGCTTCATGCAGGGTTTTCTGAATCCTTCTGACGCAAAACAGTTTAACATATACGATATTCAGGAATATTCCAAATTCCAAATAAAAATTATGCACGACATGGACTGTATTTTGGATCCCAAAATTTAGCCTCTTTTACGTATTTTTCCAGTAAAACCTTTCTTTTAGTTGCACTATTAACTGGCTTCTTTTCTGATCTATGCATAGTTTAGAGAATATAACTCCTTAATTATTGGGCTCAACTCTAAAACAAGTATTGGCAATAGTAAATGAGAATACAACTCAAAATCAACCACCAAGTTGTATAGGTGGCGATAGTGGATGAAAAGGAAAACCTTGCCTCCATAATGATCATAAACATCAGACCTAAATACGAGCAACTAGAACAAAGGACCTAAATTGGAGTGCATGACCACCATAAACAACCAAACACCTGGGGACCTGGGGCTGTTTAGAGCATTTCTTCCTCACAAACAAGCCATGAGTAAAGCAATGCATACGTATCCATTGTGCTCCAGAGGAACAGGAGAAGCAGATGAAAATTATGAAATGATACAGATGCCAGATACAGCATGTCAGCTCACATAATCCATAAACCATGTTATAAGTGAAAACACAGTGTTCTATCCAGTAGGACATTGATATTAAACAGAAACAAACCTGCTCTCCAGGATAGTTTGCAGTCCTCCTGGCAAGCTAATGACACTAATTGGCTCTATGTGGAGAAATAAATAAACAATAGCCACTGAGTAGAACAGGTGGCAACAAGGACTTGTTGGTTTTTGCCCAAAATAGTATCATACATATTCCATATGACATGAACAATCATATGAATTTCAAATCAAGGCTTGTCAAAACTTTAGCTGCAGTTTCTGAGGAAAACAATTTAACAGGCCTACCACAATAGCTAATTGATAAAGAACAAGTTAGTTTACAAATAAGTCTCTTCGCTTTATTATATATTTAAGTCATCAACCTTGCCCAAAACCATTAATAAGTTATGTTCAGAAACAGGGAAGAAGACATAAAACAATCTCCTTGCATGTTGAGGCTGTACCCACGAACAATATGTTTCAGACATTGGTTAGTGCAGCAGTGTAATCAATGTAGGGCAGCAAAGAAGCAAAAGAAACAAGATTTTCAAAAAGAACTGAGAAAAATCATAAAACAAGATAATAAACAGAATGAACCAGAAGCAACCTAAATAAGGCAGATAAAGAACAAGACGGCAAAGCAATTACAGATATCATGAATATACACAATAAGAGAAAGAAGGCGGACCTCACTGGTAACCTCAATCACCAGTTGCTTTGCAGATTCAATTTGTTCTGGAGTGCCATCAATATGCACAGTTCTTTCAGTTGAAGTATCACCAGCAGGCAGATGCAAAGGAATAACCTGCACAAGAATTTGCAAGGACAAGAATAACATCAGAACACAGATCAACAGCAAAACAAGTAGACCAAAACGATGAGTATAAATGAACAGCTTGGACCAAATGGAGTGTTTAAGGCAAAATATGAATGATGAACTCAAGGATGACAAAATATCAATCATTAGGAAGCAGCATTTAAATTTACTAGGCAAAGCAAAAACAAGCAGATAAACAACCACAAGTAAACTTAATGTAACCTTATTTCTGATTGCAGCTACAGTAAAACAGGAGGGTGGATAATAAGATAGCAAACCTGAATACGAGCTCCAGATTTGAGCTGCATGGACTTTATAGTCTCACCACCCTTCCCAATAACCAGTCCCACCTAAAAAGAAATAGATAATAATCAGAAGCAGCGGAAAAAATAATATTGATGAGGCAATCACCACAATACTGACTGTTTATTGATATAAAATTGACAAATGGACACCCATGCACATGTCAAAAACTTGTGGTAGCATGATAAAATGTATTTTTCATATAGAACAGGGTGCATACCTTGTTATTAGCAATCTTCATCTGGAACGTCTCACCGCCAGGCTGTGGTGCATTGTATTTCCGGCCAGATCCACCACCAGATGACCCAGCGTCAGCCTGGATTGCAAGATCAAACATTGTAACAAGTACGAAAAAAAATGCAGAACTAAACAAAAAGCTGTGAACATAATGAGTAATACCTCTGCCAGAACTTCTTTGATCAACTGTTCAGCTTTGCTTATCTGATCAGGATTGCCAGAAAGCTCAACTGACCTTGTCGGTGCACCAGGTTCAGCTTCATGGTCTCTTGTTACTTGAATCTTTGCTCCTGATTGAAGTTGGATATACCTAATAGTTTCCCCAGCTTTTCCAATAATAACACCAACCTACAGCAAGTCGACAACAGTGCCAGTTGAAGGGAATACAAACATCACACTTCTGGATACACTTTCTTATACGACTATAAATTCGGTGACGGAAAACGAACTGAACATGCTTACCCTTCCATTTGGAATTTCGATCTTTTTGCTTGTACCCTGATATCCACCATATGAGGAGTACTGCGGTGCACTGCTCTGGGAAGATAACGGTGTGATAGAAGCCCCGTGCCCTGATACAGAAACCACTAGAATTCTGAATCCATTTGCTATTATCGGAATTTATTGAATTATATTTACTATGAGAAATAACTGTTTAAATTTATGTGGGCAACAACTCATGGTAAAGGAAGGGATGCATGTATAAACACAAAAGCAACAGTTTCACGATATGCTAACTGCACAAATCAAGATTGGATGAACATATACTACTTTAAGACAGCGGATACAATCAGACTCGAGTTAAGACAGGCAAATGAGCTGGGATGCAGCACCAGTTCGATTTTGCATTGACGCCACATTTGGCAGCCAAACAAAGGTATTAAACATCTACACCATGTATGAGCAGATCAATGAATCTTATAGCTTAGCAAGATCACAATAATATCTGAGATGTTTCTTGCCAGTCTATCCAGAAAATGGCATGTTGCGAAAAAAATACTACACAATAATGAAAGTGAATATGATAAAAAAAATTGAACCCCTTCAGATGACAACAGTTTTAGGCTTCTCCTAGACTTCTCCACAAGGTGGAGCGTGTAAAACTAAAAAATAGGTGGAGAATGCTGATTGATATGAACTTGCATTGCAGCTTGTTAGAAAAAAAAAACTAACCCTCCAGTGCCTCCACAGTTGCATCTCGTTGTTATAATAAGATGATCACGACCTGTGAGCTCTCAAAAAAAACATTGGCGATCGTAACAATATGAGCGTGCTTCTAAATAGCTCACAGGTGACAGGTTCATTAAACATGAACCAGGTTTGAGCATCCGCAGCTCACGCACATTGATCTATCGATCCATACCCCAAATCGAATCGTAAACCGAGCAAAGAAAACACCCAGTCCTTGTGGACGAGAAGCCGAGTCCTCCACCACCAAGCACAGACAAACAGATCTACGCGACCAAGCATGGGCTCAACGACAAGCAAGCCCTGTAACTCACCACCACCGGCAGAGGACGAGAAGCCGAGTCCTCCGCCGCCGATGCGGCCACCGCCACCGCCACCGCTGCCGCCCAGGGAGCCTCCTCCCCCGAAGCCGCCGACGTCATCGTCGCCGTTGTCGACGCGAGGGCGCTTGGCCTCTGCAGCGTTAAAGATCCGCGCCGCGATCTCCTGCGCGCGCTGCTTCGCGAGCTGGATCTCATCGGGGGGCGGCGGCACGCTGTTGTACGACGGGGCGCCGCCAGCGGGCGGCGAGGCAGGCGGCGGGCCCGAAGAGAACCCCGTGCGCCGGGGCGGCGGCGAGGGGTCGTCGTACTTCCGCTTGGAGGAGTAGTGGTCGTCGGCCATGGCGGAGGACGGGTTGCGGGGCGGCGGCTGCCGGGAGCGTGGACGAAGGGATAAGACGGCCGAAAACCCTAGCAGAGTTGAAGGTGTCGATATTTGTAGAGCTCGCCCCTTGATTTTTATTTCTCGGAATTGCCACAGTAGTGCACGTTAGAGATTTCGGCCAACACAAGTTGGACATATATCAGGGTCTGATTGGTGGTGACCAAATTTCCTACAGGTGGGTGAATAGACCTGAGCAATTATCAGATTTAAGCGACCAAATTTTGCGTAGGTCTCTGGTTTCTCTGAGGGGTGAATAGACCATTTAAAACAAGACTTGAGCAATTATCAAATTTAACCCAAGGCACTACCGCACAGCGGCACCATCGAGCAGAATAGCGACACTGTCGTACCTACAGACAACTTTGAAGTATAGTTTAAAAACTATATATAAAAATTTAGATCGGAGAAATTACTGAGCTTTCTACAGGTATGAAGATCACAGATTGACAGCTAAAAGTGGTAGTAATGTCACACACAAGTAGATTGTCGACAAATCCTAGAAATCATCTCAACACAATATGAAATACAAGTGAAGCAAATCAAGCACACGGTGACACAAAGATTTATCTCATGTTCAGCTCACCACCAAGGCTTGCCTAAATTCACATTGTTGAGGTTAGCCACTAAGACTTAGGGCTTTGTAACCCTTCCTTGTTCTCAAGTCAAGAGACTTAACTCTTGAGATGAGGGGTGAGTTTACTAAATTCAAGAGATGGTTACAAACCTCTAGGGCTGCCACACAAGTTGACAAGCTCCACGGACGACGCTCTAGCCGGCTAGAAGCCAAGCTCCAAGAGTAACAAACATAACCGTTGGCAAAAACGTGAACAAATGGTCTTTAGAGTTGGAGAATCAATGGATCTGCTCTCAAATCGAGTTTTGGACATTTTTCTCTCAAGGATTGATGGGGAAATCAAAAGAGAAAGCTTGAGAGCTCTAAGGCACCAATGGAGGAGAGAGAGTGAGCACAGGTGTGTTCTGCGTCGGTCTGAATGAAGAGGTGAAGAAAAAGCTCGTTGTGAGAGAAGTGGAGAGGTATAAATACATTCCCTAGTCCTAACAATCAGATAAGTTGCGGCAATCTCATGAAATTATGCTGCAAAGATCGATCTTCTTCTGTGACATCTTATAGACCGAGCTGCACAACAAAGGTATAAGGAGGTTTTGAGCTGGTTGTCTTGGCTAAACTTTGATGATGCTTTTGTATAAGATTGAGCACTTGGTTGTATATGTTGACTTAAGCATTGTATTCCTCTTTATAGTACGGTTTTTCCTATACTCAGTTATAAAATATAAATGAAGTAAACCTCCCTTCAAGTTTGATGATGTCATCTTTTATGTAATTGGGGCTCCTCCGTTATGTATAACATCCTCTCTTATGATTCTCCTGCTTGTCATCTCGATAAATCTTATTAGTTCTTTAATTGTGTGGTTATTATCACCAAAACCCACAATTACGGCTTGATTGTACTTACAATCTTCTCCTTTTTATGATTGATGGCAACCCAATTAGAGCATACAAAATATATGAAATGTTACTGAGATTTTTCGAGTCATGGGTGTAGAGACTCCCCCTATATGTGTGAATTGAAAGTTGAATTTTCAAATTAGCATTAGAGGCAAAAATTCACACTTTAGTCAAAGTGATGGGGCTCCCCCTACATCCATGCTCTTGTGGGGTGCTGCACACTGTGTCATGTAATTGAACATGATGCGAATGACAGTTTATCCACTCAAGAGATTATTGATGCAACAAGGTGCGGCACTGCTGCTCCTCTACCGCAGCACAGTTTAAGCCAATCACCACACAACAGATAATATATAAAAAGATCAACAATCTAGCACAGGTATACGACGAGCTACAGCACACAACGATACATGTCCATATCCGATAAAAATAGAGTACTTAGGCAGCACTATTACAACAAAATAGAGTTTTGAGCGACCCTCAAACTCACACCTAATCAACTACTCTCATCGAATAAAACATGAAGCTCCAGCTACTGCAACACATGACGTCCAAAAGTGTTGACCCCTCTAATTTCTCCCCCTTTGGCATAAAACACCAAAAAGAGAAGAGGAGAAGTCAAACAACTGACTCCTCATCCTCGTCGATGTTGTCCCAATCAACATCGTCTCCACCAGCAGCACGACCATCACCGCAATCGTCATCGTTGTCGTCCAAGGACACCACCACCCTCCCTTGGCGATGGGTGGTCGAAGTGTGGCGAGTGCAGCGCATAGAGCGCAAGGTTGACCCCAAGGTCATCCAGTAGTCAAACTCCTCCTCGGTCTCCTCCTCATCCTCATTCTCGGAATCTGAGAAACTAGGCAAGTTATAATGTGGAGGAGGTGGGGGAGCGATGGGAGATTTGCGGCTGCATGCATCTCCTGCTGCTCCATCTATGTCTCGTATGCCCTTTCAGCTGCATAGGTGCATTTGCCAAAAATGGCCTTGATCCACTGCACCATCTTGTTCTTCTTTTTCTTCCTTCCACTATGAGAGGACTTAGGCACATCAGAGGGAGAAGCAATGTTTTCACTGGTCTTGGCATGTCTAACCTTCTTAATCTTGTATTGCTCATGCAATCCATTCTTGACAAACTGGTAGCCAGTCACTCTCTCAATCATAAACATCAAGTAGGGAGCATAGGGCAGCCCCTTCCTTGCATCATCCATTGCCACTCTAATTTCTTGCCACATGAAACGAGGAACATTGAATTTATCTCCCCCTGGAGCAAACTTAGCAAACACATTCCTCACATAACCATTAAGATCAGATGTGGCTCCATCTTTAGGATTAATTATGTGCCTGATTAGGTTGTTGAGAATATAACAGTAGCTCTTCAGGCCCTTCACCTTGCCATCTGCAGATCTACTATCAAGATAAATGAAGGCTATCTTTTTAACCTCAGCCCTCCTCTCATCATGAATATAGGAGAACCCACGGTGATCCTCATCAAACCCAAGGATACGGCTGAAGGTCACCAAAATCAACACGATAGTGACAACCTTCTGTCATCCAATGTATCTCATCATTGTCGCTCTTGTAGTAGTAGGTGGCATGGAACTAAGCTAGCACCTCTATGTTCCAATCATACCTGAAGGTCATAATGTCTGTCAACCCAAACCTCTCACAAGCCTAGATTGCTTGATTGAAATCAGGGTCATTCTTCTCTCTCAACTCCTCCTAGTCAATGTACTTCATCTTCACAATCTTGGATTTTTTGTTGTTGAAAATGACTGAGGTATAGAAGTTGGAATGGAAGACATTCCAAAATCTATAATCAACACCCAAGTCCTTCGACACCAAATATGGGTTCTCTTCTCTAGCTTCCTCAACCATCTTCTGCTTACCCATATAGTCAACAACTAGATGCTGACGAGTGTCATTAGCCCTATTTTCCACCACATCTTCATCATAATTTCTGAGATATGAAGGGTCAAACTCATCAAGGTGTGGTGGTGTGTTAGGACATGCATCAGGAGGGATGACACGTCCAGCTCTCTCTAGGGCTTCCTCTTACCGGATCTGCTCATCACGGCTCCCCCTCTCTAGCAACATCTGCTACCCCTCTGCCACGATGAGAGAGAGGCTTTTCTCTTGGAGCATCAAACTTCCTACGGACCCTTCGATCATCATCTCCTCCGAATGCCATCTATGCCAAAGAGTAGATTCAAATGAGAAGCTGTGCAAAGATGAGGTAAAGGAACACTTGTGAAATAGTTTGAATAAGCCAGATGACTCAAATTTTGAACTTGAGAAGCAACCTGAAAAGAAAAATTTTAGGTGGTGCGGCAGTGCCGTACCTAGGAGCGGCACTGCCGCACCTTATGCTTCATTGATCCATCACTTGTTTCATCTGACTTGCTCAAACTACTTCTCAAATACTCCTCTAGACCATCACACATTCTCAAGATATATAGATCTAATAGAAACGTGGAGTTGAGCATTTGATAGGCAAAGTGTCATCATGATTAAATCAGTAGTAGATCTGGTGAACAAATTCAATCACTATAGGGAGTCATCGATGGAATATTACTTCAGTCTATAGAAAACACTGCAGCATGCGGCATTGCCGCGCCATGGACTGATGGCACTACAACCATGAATCTCTATTTTGATTCAATTTATCCATCAAAGCTACTTCTACTCTAATCATGTAGTCACTAGAAACCATTATCCAACACAAAATGAACTCCATTGCATAAATCGGGAAAGGTTTTAGGGTTTCACCTTAAAACTTGCGGATTGGAGAGGAAAGGAGAGAGACGGCTCCACCCAAGAGCTACAGCGACCGCCGATGAAGCACAGGAGCTCTGGTAGCCGGTGCGGCACCTTTGGAACGCGGCACAGAAGGCGCAGCGATGGCACGGCGATGTGAGCGTGCGAGGGGAAAGAGAGCGGCGTGTTGGGGTGAATGGGAAGAGAGAGGAGAGAGTTACTGTGGCCTAGATGAGAAAAGGATAGGGGATGGGGCCCGCAGTAACTGCCATTGCGACCCAATCTCCAAGCGAGATTCAAAATGCGGCACTATCGCGGCCTATACGCGGCACTGTGAAAGGATCTAACAATGCCTAGAGGGGGGTCAATAGGAGTATCTATAAATTAACTGCAAATGCTAAGTTCAAATTTGTCAGTCAATATCGGAAGTCCTGGCGTTTGGGTCGGAACTCCCGACGTCGTCAGAAGTTCCGGTGCAAACGTCAGCAGTTCCGACGCCTATGTGAACTACAAAAGCAGTGCCAAATTTAACTTTGCAGATGAATAATCTTACAACCCCACTTCCTAGTGGTTTGATGAAGATGTTGGGTCACTCCCTTGACGCCGTAATGCCTCCAAACCGTAGATCGAGTCCAAACACTAAAATGAAGTTTGGGAGAGAAAGAGACAAACAAATACAAGTAATCTCTAGCAATCACAGCAACAAGCACACAGGACACAAGGATTTATCCCG